TAGAGGTTTCCAATCTGAAATAGTGAAGGTTTTGGAATTGTTTACGCCAGTGATCAACTCTTTGATTTTTTTTTAATTTCAAAATTATCAGTGATTTGAAATTGGGCAAAACTTTTACTGTTTCAAAAATATCAACATTAGAAATCAAGATTACCAAAATGATGGATCTTGGTCATCAATATTTCGAATATTTTGGTTTGTAAACACTGCTCTGGATACAGTTCATACTGTAGCCAAGGTAATTAACAGGATAATTAGTTAATTAATTAATTCCAAAAAATCGATTTCAGACAGGAACAGGAGCTGTTCAAGGAGTTGTTGATGGAACAATCCCAGCAGTTGGTAGTGCTGTTCAGGTAATAAATTACTCTCTCAATTATTTTTAATTACTCTAAATTCTATATTTTCAGAGTGTTGGTGGAGTTGTCCAAGGTGTTGCTGGCATGGTTCCAGAACTTCCAATTGGAGGAGCACAACAACCAGCTGAATAATTTCAGCTCTCTTTTTTTCTGAAATTCAAAAATCTGTACATGTTGTGTAAAATTCCAACGAAAATTCAGGATAAAAACAGTTTTTTTTAGAATCTGGACTGTGTGAAATTGAAACAGCAAAAATTCGCAATGGTTTTTGTAAGCGTCCACTAATTTTACCAAAATCTCTAAACTTTCAGAGTTTTGAGATTTGGTAAAAAACGTTTTCTGTTTCAAGAAATCTGAATATTGAAAATCGAGATTTACGAAATGATAGATGATAGAACAGTATAAAATCATTATCATTTTTCGGTCTCGCTATGAAATTTCTAAAAAAAAATTAAATTTAAAGGAACATGACCATTTTATGTTCATTTTGAAAACCTAAGCATATAGAAGCTAAAGATTTTCGTTAATTTTGATTCCCAGATTTTTTTGGATTCCCGAATTCTGTTTATTTTCTACAGATTTTTTGAATTTCTAGAATCGTCTAGACCCCTATGGTCCATTTTTCTCCTGAGACAACGACTTGTCACATTGATATCAAAATATTGCTCACATTCTAGGTTTATTGCCCCTCAATCTTTTCCTGATGAATGATTGAAGGTGTAAAAAAGGGGCGGAGCTTCCTATGGACTGCAATTTTCGTAGGAAACTAGGTTTTCAGCCTGTGAGTTGAACATTTCAAAAATGTGTCTCAACTAACCCGATCAACTTGTAAATATTCAATTCAACATTTAGATTTTTTTGAAACAGTAAATTATCAGCGTTATTTGACATACCGTAAAACCTCTAATAGAACGACACCCGGATCGTCCACTTTGAGCCTATATATCTCACTTTTTTTGAAATGATATCAAAAAGTGGTTATCTGGCTGTT